GGGGGGGGCACCAAGTTAGTGAACTTTGCAAAACAGGAGAATTGTCAAAGCTGTGACTGATTACTCGGTATGATATGCTGTTATTTGTTACATGTTGTCAGCTAGAAAAACAAATGAAGAAGTCTTGGTTGAAGCAAATTGCAGACAACAGCTTATGACGAAACGAAAGCGACAGGCAAATTTCATTGGACGCACAATGCAGAAAGGAGCATTGGAGAATATTGTAACAACAGGCAAGTTTGATGGAAAGAACGGCAGAGGCAGACAGAGGGAAAAGATACTGGACACATTAACAACATGGCTGGGAATAGCAAAAACAACAGACACCATCGCTACAACGCAGGACCGAGGGAAGTGGAGGTCCATGATCGCCCACGCCAGTCGGCAAGGCACCAGAATATGATGATATCATGACAGGTTCTGATAGGTCACATGTTACTGAGATTAACTTTGATAGGTAACCAGGAACGGTTCGTCCATCGAGCGCAGTCAGTCATGCAGTGCCGCCCAACATTTTTTAACGTTCTATTGCATAAAGCACCCACAAGCAGCAAATAAAAGAAGCCTGCTACTAGCACTAGATCAAGGGGAAGACCACGTGGAACCTGGAGAAGAAATGGAGGTACAGAAAGGTGGGAACTCGTAGAGTGAAATCAAGTGACTATCTCAGGATAGGGAAAGGTGGAAAGTGTTTGTTCGTGGCCTATATCCTGATCCAGGATGAGAAAGGCAATGATGATGATGACTAGCACAAGGCTAATATTGTATCAATATAAGGTGCCTTAACGGCCATTACTGTGTCTATAACGCCGTACAACTTCTACTTGCCCATGTCACGCCAAAGTCCACGCGCTTTAAGTAAACATAATAAAATCTTCAGCAGTTGTAATCAGGCCTTTAAGAAATTGCCATTCGAACTAACCCAAGCGATGACGACACTCGTGGTTAATTTAGCGATGCGTTAATATTAATAAGACGGCACATCTCAAAATCAAATGTGCTCCTGCGGTAGACAGTCTGAAAATGAACGCAATCTCAGACTTACACTATTCTATGCCTATAATATGTGGGCCATGGAGCAATCCAGCGGAGTGCTCAAGTGAATTGCCATTGGTTCATTGTCTTGCCACTATTTTAAAATTTAAGTCTTTGTCCAACTCTGTGACCGTGATCTTGAGCGAGGTGAACGTGGTATGGTTTGGTTACCGTCTGTTTAGTTGTGCCTTTGAATGATGTGTAGTAAAGTGGTGAAAGTGTTGTTGCTTGATTAAGCGTTCAATTCTAATGCAAGATGAACTTGATTTTTCGGTTTAAAAAAAAAGATTTTGTCCTAGAAATCAAAGCAACAAAAATGGAAGGAAAGTAAAACCACTAGGTCTCAACATCCCCAAAGATATTAATTTTATACACCATCCCATTTACTATGCTCTTGACTATGATCTTCAACCTGTGTTATCTTAATTGTACATGCCCAATTTTTTTTTTTTGCCCCAGAGCCGCCCCTGTTGGTAACCATCGATTGAAAAATTGTTTTGCTGTTACTGGGGGATCATGTGTGATTGGTTGCCTGTTGTTACCAGAAACGAAGACATATTATAATCATTAAGATATTCAGTGACTTGTTAGGTGTCATAAAGGTATATTGGGATTTGTTATATGGGGTGCCCACATACGCGGTCGGGTCGGGTCGATTTCTTGTGGTTTCAGTGCACACTACAACCCTGCCGCGATTGTACCCGGCGACCTGGAAATTAAAGTAGAGAAACCTTTAACCTACATGCGACTAGGCTACACAGAGGGCGTTAACCGGGCTACGATTGGCTGAACCTTTGACCCGTGAATATATAAGATAGGCCTACGGTATTCTTTGACTTCCGGACTCCTCTCTCTGTCTCTCTGTCTCTCTGTCTCTCTGTCTCTCTGTCTCTCTGTCTCTCTCTCTCTCTCTCATTCTCTCTCTCTGTGTCTCTGTGTCTCTGTCTCTGTCTCTCTCTCTGTCTCTCTCTCTTTCTCTCTCTCTCTCTCTCTCTCTCTCTCTCT